AGAAAGATGTTTCCTTCCCTCTTGATATTTGAAGATCACGTATTCCTGTTTCGGTTTCATGTTAAATTAACTGTAGAAATTATAGAGCGGTTCGAAGGATTCGCCTGAGCCAAGCGGAAGCTTACGAGGAGGTGAACGAATCCGGTGGCCGAGCAATCGCACCTCGACGCGAGCATCGGCAACGGTACGGCATAGCGCAGCGTCCGCGACGAACGGAAAGCGGGGGGTGGGAGGGTTTAATGACAAGTATTCTGCATACACACGTCTTTCGCTGGCACGTGGCGAAATTGTAAATTTCGTTGCAGGTACCACGTGCCGGAAACGCGTCGCGTCCCGTGGCCCCGTAAACGTTTAAGGCTTTACGGATCGGCTGGTTAAAACGAGATTCCCCAACGCTGTTCGTTCGCCAGTCACCGTTTACGATTCACGTTTATGGTTCCATCGGTGTACAACAAATTGGAGGAATTTTGGTTAAATTCTGATAAACGTTTATGCTGTTGCGTGAAGAGAAAGCGAGAATGTTTCGTGATAATTGTTATTATTTACTGTGCCAGTGTACTGTTTCATCTCGAATTATTTATTATTCCTCTGTTTCATTAATCATTTTTCTTGTAGTGTACATGTTACTGTGAGAGACCGAAATTAGACGATGTCAACGTTCTCCGGTGAAAGATCGACGTATTTGGTTAAATTATTAATTATTATACATTCGAACCATTAGCGACTATGCTGACATTTGTCAAATATCGATCTCCCACAGTAATATACATAAAGATATCATAATATTTGTACCATTTTTAGGTTGATATACTGAAGATAAGTGAATCTCCAAACCTTCGAACACATAGAAAATTGTATAAGAATTAAAAACTCGAAATACTCCAATTTTTCAAATGCATATTTTAAGAATCCTGAGTAAACCAAAGAATTTAGGAACATTTCACACATCGAGTCATATCAATCATAAATATATTTTAGTCTCTTTTGTATGTGAAATCCTGGCAGCAGAACAGCGTTAAGAATATTTGAGGAACGCGTTAATACTGTAAATAAGTTGTCAACTGTAAACGTAGGTTAAAAATAAATAAAAAACAAACAGTGCTACCTAGATGTAATTAGAAAAGAACAAAAGCTGTATTATCTGTAACGCAATACTTATTAACGATGAGATTGTTGCGAAAGAAACATGCTAAGCTACGTTCATTAAAATCAAGAAAAAATGCAACCGTTCAATCGCCCTCTGGAAATAAAATAGCTTTCAGACAGTGTAACACAGATCAAATCGAATATATTATTATATTACCAAGTAACTCGTATATGAGATTAATTAGTACTGAAGCCTGTCGTACGTAGTACTTCGTCAATTAATTAAGATATTCATTAGTTTAACACTAAATCTATTTTCAACGTCACCTGTGTTTTAATAAACCCTAACAGCTCTGCCCACGATTTTATGGTCTCTACGATTTTCAGGAAAGTAATCTACATACATTAAATGAACTTTTATATTCATTTAATATCCTAATTACTTGTAATTCTCGAGCATTTCAATCACTATATTTTCCTAAGAATATTAGCCATTTTAAATTACAAATCGCGATTTCTTTAGTCGATGAAAATTGATATGGATTAGAAGGAATATTTATTTAATTATTAATTATATTACACATGAATTATAGGACAAATCCTGTGTTAACGTTCGACAGCAAACAGATATTGTTATCAAAACTGAGAATTGGCAACGACACCAACATTGTTCACTTTTATCTATTGAGGAAAGAACATTAACCTACGTGCAGTAGTTGCACTGTATCGAATTCGATATCACCTATGAACTGCCTTATGATTACCGCCTGCTTGAAATTCCAAAATGAAAGGAGACTGTTTAAGGTTGTATGAACCCTTACATAAAAAC